CCTATTTGTCATTTGTTTGAACTTACATGGATTAAAAAAAATACATTTACATTCACCCGTTCAAATTATTAAAATCATCCATCATGTAATGGCTTGGTTTGAATGAATATTTATCCACACCAAGCATTAACATTAATAATAACAAAATTCAAAAAGCTAAAACAGCATCTAATTTGTATTTATTGATTTATCGTTAAAGAGTGAGGAGAGTTGGATTAATACTAAATTAGTAAGTTAGTGTTTGGTAGAGTTTTAAAATTATAATTTGAGAATAAAATTGTATTTTGAGTTTGTGAGTTTTAGAATTATGATTTGAGTGTGAAAAATTTGTTTGGTGTGAGTTTTGAAAAGAATTTTGAATTGAGTTTGAAATTTTTGATGTGACATATGATATTTTATTTAAAAACTTACAACTCAAAACCAAACACACAACTCAAAATTATATTTAAAGCTCATAAATTTTTTTAAAATACTTCCAAAAATACTTTTTATTTAAAATGTAAAAATAACAAATGAAAAAAAAAAAATTGAATACTGATCTGGTCAACCAGCAGTAGGGCTGAGCAAAATACGGCCCAATCCGCTAAAACCGCACCAATCCGCATCTATCCGCACCGCTCGAACCGCTAACCGCGGTTTAAACTTTAAAATTTATAATCTGATAATCCCCCAACCGAACCGCTCCGCTCCGCTATAGTTAATACATATATATTTTTTAACCTCCAATGAAATATCAATGTAAAAATGAGTGTGAGAGAGATATAAGATATGAAATTTATTACAAATTAGTGGTTATATATATGAAACATATTATGTAAAATTACTTTGTGTTATATATCTAAAAAATATTATACAAATTAGTGTTATATATTATGCAAATGTATGATAGTTAGTTAGAATATTATTCAATCCACCAAAAATCGCCCAAACCGCAATTTGTCAATCCGCTAATCCGCCAACCCGCCATTCGGTTTGTAAATTTACCCTCAAATCGTCCGAACCGCACCGCGCACACCCCTAACTGGCAGGACGTCCGAGAGGATGACCGAGCAAACGTGTTTCAAAATTAGAGCTTCCTATCATTGTTGTTTGAAAAGAATAAAAATTGAGAGCTATAATTTTAGAACTCTAAAGAGAGTTCTAGTGATGTGGCAAAGAGTAGGGCTCACATGCAATGTGATGTGTGTGTCTATGTTTTTTTTTTTTTTTTTTTTTTTTTTTTTTTTCTTGGCACATCAATAAACCTCTCTTTAGAGCTCCAAAATTAGAGCTTTCTATCATTGTTGTTTTGAAAAAAATAAAGATTGAGAGCTCTAATTTGGAGCTCTAAAGAGAACTCTAGTGATGTGGTAAGGAGTGAGACCCACATGTGATGTGCTGTGTGTGCCTATGTTTTTTTTTTCTTGTCACATCAATAGAGCTCTCTTTAGAGCTCTAAAATTAAAACTTTCTATCATTGTTGTTTTGAAAATTTTCATCAAACACCACACTCAAACTAAGGAATGCAATTAAATAACAGAGCCTAATTTTTCCTATTAGGTCATCTCTGCATTTATTCATTTTGTAGTCAACTGTAATTTGTAAATAAAATTTTGAATAAAAAACTTTTTATTTAAATATGAAAATTCTTTTCAATTTATAATTAATAGAAGGAAGACAGGCAGGCAATCAATGTGTGCATGGCTTGTGAAGATCTGATATACACTTTATTTTTATTTTCGTCGAAAGCTGTGTTTGCCTAATTTTCCCATATGTGTGCGTGGGTTTTTAAAGTGGGAAAGGGTAGTAGAGAGATTTCCCAACTCAATATTTATTGGTTAAAATTGTAAAATTTAATAGTTATTGTTAAGATTTTCATAGATAATTTAATAAATATTAAGTGATAAGTGGTGTAAAATACTATTTCAAAACAATCAAATAAGAGGGAATAACACACAAATGGAGCAGCAAAAATTAAAAAAATTATAATTATAATTATTAATATTTATAATATTTTTCATTTATTTATAAATATTTTCCACTGATATCATATCAGTGTAATTTCTCCATCAAATAATCACTTGTTTCACTGTGATGATGACAATATACTATGCACTGATTAATACAAATAAAATGCGAGAGTCGTCAGAGCGTGATCAAACACATCCCTGTTTGGCTTTTTGTGTTTGCTACATACACTTCTACTGATTTGATGAAACACACTCCACAGTTAGAGATGGATAAGTCTAATAATAGTTAGGGATTGTTTGAAAATGACTTTTTTATTTTTTTATTTTTAATTTTTTGAAATGGACCTAATTGTCTAGTTAGAACACCATCTGATCTTGTGCAATTAATAATTTTTTGATATCAAAATAGCTTACTTATAATCCATACCTAATATATATATTATAATTAACACACTATAGATTATAGTTTTGAGTGTAATCTTTTAGCATGTTTGATGCAATAATTGAATTATAAATTTAAGTGGTAGAATAGTATTCCTTTTAATATAAATGCATGAAAATAATATTTAAGAAAAATAAAAGAGATTTCGCCAAATAGTCATTTAAAAACAAGTTCCCACATAAGCGAAAAGTTTGAGAAGCATTCCTCGCTAACTTCTTAAAACAAATTTATTTAGCTTCAAATAAACTAAAAGCACTATTTGGTAGGTGACCTTGTTTAGATAAGTGTATTTATTTGGATTATATTATTTATCTATTTTTTTATATTTTTTTCTTAAAAAATAAAAAAAATATACTTATTTAGGTTTCGTTTGGGAAGTTGGATTGCCTTTTTAACTTTTTGATTATTTTATCTAGACTAAAAAGTTTATTTTGGTTGACTTTTTTGATTTTTGTGAGAGAAAAAGTGCGAAAAGTTTGAGAAGCATTCCTCGCTAACTTCTTAAAACAAATGTATTTAGCTTCAAATAAACTAAAAGCACTATTTGGTAGGTGACCTTGTTTAGATAAGTGTATTTATTTAGATTATATTACTTATCTATTTTTTATATTTTTTTCTTAAAAAATAAAAAAATATATATACTTATTTAGGTTTCGTTTGGGAAGTTGGATTGGTTTTTTAACTTTTTGGTTATTTTAATCTAGACTAAAAAGTTTATTTTGGTGGACTTTTTTTTATTTTTGTGAGAGAAAAAGTAAAATAATTGTAGTTTGAATGTGATATTTTGTCTTATTGATTTTTTAACTTATTTTGTGACTAATTGAGCCAAAAAGACAACCCAACCCAACCCAATTGCCAAACGACACCTTAGATTATTTCAAACAATCTCTAAATAAGATTAAACCATTTTGTCGTAACCTACATCAAACATATGTTATTTCAACCAAATTAAAGTTAAAAGTTATTTTTAACGAAAACAAACAGTTTAACTCTTGTTTATAGATAATTGATGAATATTATTTGAATGATTAGAAAAAAAATTGATATGACAACCATCAAAACAACTTAGACAAGTCAAGAATGATCATGTAATTGTCATATCCCAATAGTTTGGTTTGAATATCATGACATGTTGGTTCATTTCTAGTGAGATTGATCAATGATACATACTGAATTAATGTACTATCCTCAGCATCCATGTTTTTTTTTTTTTTTGCACCCCATAATCTACACTTCAAAAGATATTTCAGTCAATAATCATGTGGATGTGTCTGCCATTTATTTTTTCTCAATTATTTTTTGTGGTTTACTTGAATTCCGGCTGTGAATAATGTGAAATTTTGGGAAAAAAAAGAAAGATCCAAGCATGTTTAAAATATAAATAAAAACAAAAAAAGAAAAACAGACAACCAGATGTACAGTTTTTTGTGTCGGGTTAGGATTGAAACCAGGTACTGGGTTTTGTTTGGTTTTAATTTTAAGTTCATTTTTATTTTATTTTTTTGAAAAAAATAAAAAAATAAATTGATAAAAAATAAACACAAAAAAAATTATTTTTTAATTTAAAAAAATTATTTTAAAATAATAAATAAAATGGTTAATTACTTAGCTCTTATGAGATTTCGAGAAAATATAAAAAAGTCATATAGTTTTAAGTATAATTACACCAACTTCCATTTTAATGAGTTAGATCATTTCTAATAGTTCATTAATTCTTTCATTAAATTTAAATTTGATAAAAAATAACTTTTTTCTTGCTTCAATAGTTTTTATCAAATTAGTATTAAATCGAGAATATCAGAAGTCTTTCATCAAATTGAGGATGCCTGATAGCTTTTATTAAATCACTACTCATAGTCGTTAAATTTTCATCACTGGATGCCCCTCCGAATGTCCCTCGGATGATCACCTTTAGGCAAAAATGTGTGAAAAAATACACTGACTGGTTGACGGGCCAGATATTCGCCCAGTCGACCGGTATTTTGATAAAAATTCAAACTCCTTTGTTGGAGCACTTGATATTAAATGGAGTTTTTACTCAAATTTGATAAAAAAATATACACCGTTGAAGATGTTCTTAAATGAACTGAAACTAATGTTGATGACATGAAGATTTTAGGATAAAAAAAAAAAAAAAACTATCATGAAAAAAGAATAAATAAATAAAAGAAAAAAGATTGAATGTATATTTAGTTTTGGTTGTGAATCTTAAAAAAAAAAAAAAAACATATGGGGAAATTAGTGGGTTTCCATCCCCAACTCATCCCCTGTGGATATTCAAAGAATATCACCTACCCTACCCAATGGATAAGAAAAAAAGGAAAAAATTCATATATTTGGATTGGGTGTCCATGGATACCCACAGGGTAGGTTATCCATTGCCATCCCTACATAGAAGTCAATAATCTACCAGAAAGTGCTTTTAATTGTCTAAATTTTCAAAGTATGTTTTTGTTCATCAATTAAACTTTAATGATTATTGATTTGAATAATTAAACCATATTAACTAGATACTTGATTTGAATAATTAAACAATATTAACTTGATACTTTAAAAAGAATTTAGGAATAAAATAAATAAAATTAATATTTAAGAAAAATAAATAAATAAATAAAACAGGGAAAGGTTGGGGGGAGGGGAGATGATCAGTCCCACCCAAAGAGATGATTAGGGTTCGACCCAACTGCCCATCTACCATCCCTCCACAATTTTCCCGCCAGATTCTCTTCCCAACTCCACCGTCACATCTAGGGTTTACAAACCCCAACGGTAACTACTCGATTACTCTCTTTTGCTTCTCATTTCTCTGTGCACTACATTGATCTATATCTATATGTTTAGGTCAGGGTTTGTACTCTCGGAGATCATTGCGCTCAATTTCTAGGGCAATTGATGAAGGGAAGAGAGCAAATGCTTCGGTATCTTCTTGTTCACCATGGGATGATAAACCCTACGAATTGCTTCCCGACGGAAAGAGAGCGTATTTGGATGAGCAGGACGTAGTCGCATTTCTTGATCCTCCCAAAGAGCTCATTCCTTTGGACCCATCTTCTTTCAATCCCGCAGCTTATCTTTGGTTTCAATCCTCCCCCCTTTTTTTTAAAAGTAAATTAATGTTTTTGATTTGGGCTTTTGTTAATTTGATTTGGGTTTTTTTTTTTTTTTTTTTTTGGTCAGGTTAAAAATTGAAGATGTTCCGGAGGACAGGCGGCATCGATTGCTGCACTTGCTAGAACCCAGGTCATTATATCTCGCTCGAGCATTTGGAGATGTATTTTGTTAAGATTCTTGTATAAGTAGCATCATGAATGGAAGGATTTCAAGTAAATATATTGATCAAGTTATTTGAAATTTATCAATCATTAGCTCTCAAATCCATTCTTGAAAACCGTATCTAAGATACTACATTGAATTAAGTTAAAGTCTATACTTCGTTCATGAGTGATGTCAAATCCGTTCATTTTAAATTCATCAATCCAAATATAGCTTAAAAGTTGTTGTGGGTGTGTGCATTTAGGTTTTAGATGGTCATGAGTATCAACAAACACAATTGTGGAATAATTTTCTGAGTCAATTTATTCATCATAGTTGCACAATATATATATATATATATATAGAGTACAAACATGCCTAAATCATATCCTTAAGTTTAACACTCCCCCTCAAGTTGGAGTATGTATATCGCATGTGCCTAACTTGTCTAAAGAGTAACCAAAAACACTACTAGCGACAGCTTTGGTAAGGACATTGGCTAGTTGGTTTTCAGACTTCATTGTCTCCTGAGAGTGAACACCCAAATCCCTAAGCAAGTTCTTCAACCATAGTAACTCACATACTCCAAAAGCCATGCTCCTATATTCAGCTTCTGCACTGGACCTGGTTACCACCAGTTGTTTTTTACTCCTCCAAGTCACAAGGTTGCCCCTTACAAAAGTAAAGCATCCTGATGTAGATTTGCTGTCATCAGATGAACCAGCCCAATCTGCATCAGTGTAAACTACTACATTCAAGTGATTATTCTTGATGAACAACAACCCTTTACTCAGAGCAGACTTCAAATATCGCAGTATGCGTTCCACAACATCCATGTGAGGTTTACGAGGATCATGCATAAATTGGCTCACTACGCATACTGATTTTGTTTAATAGGGGTATTCGCAGGCTTACAGCCAAGAATACCTGTTTCAGTTAACAAATCAAGGATGTATTTTCGTTGAGATAAAAAAATACCATTCTTTGAGCAGGCTACCTCTATTCCGAGAAAGTATTTTAAATCTCCAAGTTGTTTCATTTCAAATTCTAGGGCCAAGTGTCGTTGTAAGTTCTCAATTTCTTCGTGATCATCTCCTGTCACCATCATATCATCAACGTATATAATCAAAGCAGTAACCTTACCCATTTGGTGCTTTAAAAATAAAGTATAGTCGGAGTTGCTTTGTTTATATCCGAAGCTCTTCATAGACTTGGTAAATCTCCCGAACCAAGCTCTTGGAGACTGTTTTAACCCATACAACGCCCTTTTGAGTTTGCACGCCATTGTAACATCTTTGTATTTTTACACACCTGGAGGGGGGTCCATATACACTTCCTCTGTAAGATCTCCATGTAAAAAAGCATTTTTTACATCAAACTGAAGAAGTGGCCAATCTCGGTTCACCGCCAAAGACAGGAGCACTCGAATTGTATTAAGTTTGGCAACAGGTGCAAAAGCGTCTTGGTAGTCAACCCTATAAGATTGCGTATATCCTTTCGCAACCAATCGAGCTTTATACCTCTCAATCGACCCATCCGCTTTATGCTTGACTGCAAAGACCCATCTACATCCCATGGTTTTTTTTTCTCCTCTCGGTGGAGTCACAAGCTCCCAAGTATCATTTTTCTCAAGCGTTGTCATTTCTTCTGCCATGGCTTGAGTCCATCTATCATCTGCTAGAGCTTCCTGCATTTTACTAGGAATAGGGACAGATGATAACTGTAGCACATAAAACGCATATGACTTGGATAGTTTGTGACAAGACACATGATTACTAATGTGATATCTTACTTTGGATTTAGGGTCAGGCTCATATTTAACAGGTGGTATACCATGATTAGAATGAGGTGGAAGACAATATTGAGACACGTGAGATTCAGAAAAAAGATCATTACTATAAGTGGAATTAGGATTAGTGGATACCTCTAGAGGAATCTCAGAAGAAGACTGGCTTAGTGGTTGTGTTGAATTGTTGGGAGGCATTATACTGTCATGAAGAGCAGGATCTTCAGTATGAGAAGTCTCTGGTTCAACATTATCTGCAATATGAGTAGTCTCTGGTTCAACAATTGATATCTTTTTCCTTTCATCTGAAAATTCACCATGTCTTGAAGAAGCTTCGGACGAAGAAATATTGTCCGAATTGTTGGTAAAAAATGCCTCCAGTTCTTCATAATTTATCACTCCTTCTAAATTTTCCCCCTGAAATGGTAAACTAGGAGTTGGCGCCCGGTAAAAAAGTTCATTCTTGTGGAAGGTGATATCCATGGAAACATAAAGCCTCCGAGTGGTAGGATCATAGCACTTGTCGCCTTTTTTAGTGTTCCCATAGCCCACAAAAACACACTTCAAAGCCCAAGACTCAAGCTTAGTCCATTGGCGGGGATGCAAATGAACATAAACTACTCACCCAAAAATTCGTGGAGCCAAAAACACCACCAGTGGAAGAGTGCAATGATTAGGGCATCCAATGGTCTTCGAAAATTAAGAACATTGGATGGCATACGGTTTATTAAATAAAATGCTGAATTCAAAGTTTCACCCCACAAGTAAATGGGAACATCATCCCCAATTAAAAGAGATCGAGTAACTGCCAATAAATATTGGTTTTTTTGCACGGCAATACCATTTTGTTGAGGAGAATCTGTGCAAGATGTTTGGTGAATAATCCCTTTAATGTGCATAAATTCCATCAATTCTTTCTTTTCGTACTCACCACCATTATCAGAATGAAAGACTTTTATTGGAACACCAAATAGTAGTTATCATTTGATGAAATAGGCGAAAAATTGAACAAACATCACTCTTGTATTTCATTTGATAAACCCAAGTCATGCGAGTGCAATCATTAACAAAAGTTATAAACCACTTCATCCCATTAAGAGTAGAAATTGGGGCTGGTCCCCAAACATCTGAATGAACTAATGAAAAAGGTAAATCTGTTTTATGATCACTCAAATGAAAAGTAGTACGATGACTTTTTGCCTTTACACAAGTTTCGCAAACAAAATCTGAAAGATTACAGCCATGAAACAATGATGGAAATAATCTCCTAAGATAGACAAAGGAAGGGTGCTCCAGTCTCCTATGTCATAGCCAAATTTCCTCCTCTTTCTTATTCACCGAATCTCCATTTACCATAAGAGCTTGTCCCTTTTTATTGGAATGGTGGAACCCGTCTTCAAGATAGTACAACCCTCCCATTTGTCTACCACTGCCAATCTTCTCCCGAGTATGGATGTTCTGAAAGGCACAGTAAGGAAAAATAGAGCAACACAATTATGAGATTTTGCTAATTGATTCACAGAAAGAATATTACAATTTTACAATAGCACAAATAAGACATCCTTGATTTCTAACGAGGAAGATAATGGAACTGTACCAACTCCAATAATCGGAGATGATGCACCATTAGTAGTGGTAATAGTGACTTTGCAACATTTAGAAAATAAATGACTAAACCTACAACGAAACGATCACAAGTCATATGGTCTATTGCGCCAGAGTCAATTATCCAATCATTATTTCTAGAAAAAGACACACCAGACTTAGCAATGAATGCAAGAGTTGTGGCTAGATTTGCTTTTGGATTAGAGTCCGCCTCCTTATGGGATGCCTTCTTACCCTTTGGATGCCATTCTGGATACCTATGAAGTCGGAAGCACGTGTCCACCGTATGACCAGTACCATGACAGTGAGTACATTTTCTATCCTTCTTTGAGATGGTCATTTTCCGAGAAGCCATTACAGCCCCCCCCTTCTCCAATATTTCCTCCAAGCATAGCATCTTGGCGATTAGCTTCCGAACAAACCATAGCGTATGCCGCCTGTATATCAGAAAGTGGTTTTGTCAACAGTACATGACCTCGAATCCCATCTAAGTGAGGATCAAGACCAGCCAAAAACTTATACACACGTTCGGAATTAACCTTCGTGGTGTATATAGCAATATCATTGGTACACTCCATAATACAGGCATCAATATCATCAAGGTCTTGCCATATTTTCTGTAATTTACCAAAATAAGAAATAACAGAACCTCCATTTTGGCAGATAGAAAACACCTCACAATGAAGTTGATAAGCTTTTGATGCATCCTGATCAACTGAATACGTATTTTTAACCGCCTCCCATATCTCCTTTGCCATGGACAATTGAAGAAAGAGAGACCAAATATCCTTTATCATTGCATCAAGAAGCCAAGATTTGACCAAGCAGTTTTCATCCTCCCATTCTTCATACTCTTCCAACTTTTTATTTAATGGAACAACCTTGGTACCCGAAATATAACCCCAACGTTTTCTCCCATGGATTTTATTTCGGGCATTCAAAGACCACTCCACATAATTGGTATTGTCAAGCCGTTTCGGAGTGATGAGAGAGGAAGTTTCCGGCAAATTTAGACCATACTCGGTCTTTGTTAGTGATTTAGCACTACCTACTTCAGTCATGATGGCACTAAAAGAAAATTTTTCAGCGGAATGATATGAACAGAAACAAGAACAATTGTGAATACAGGACCTACTTCAATTCCTAGGGTTAAGAAAAGGATATTGAAGGAGGCTCTGATACCATGTCAACAAACACAATTGTGGAATAATTTACTGAGTCAATTCATCCATCATGGTTGTACAATATATATAGTACAAAAACATTAACAAGGAAAGAATAAAAGATTATAGAAATATCCTATAACTAAGGAATTGATAAGGAATTACATAATTAAGGATATTGCCTAAATCATATCCTTAATTTTAGCAGTGCTTTCTAAGGAATTGATAAGGAATTACATAATTAAGGATATTGCCTAAATCATATCCTTAATTTTGCCTGAGGGCCTTATTTTACTTCTAAGTTTTAGTGATTTGAATCTATGAACCGCGCTTTTAGGAAATGCAAAATCAGCTTCTTTTATAATATCAATGTAACATGGTACATGGCCAAAATAAGAAAGAATAGGAACTGATCTGTGGAACTTCTAGTGAAGTAGGGAATTGTTCTGTGATACGTTTGTTTAATGCAAATGTTCGGTAAATGGGTTTAAAGTTCTTGGACTTGTCTCCAACATGAGCATCTGTGGTTTGATACTGAAGAGTGGTTTTAGCATTGCCAATTATTCATTTATTTACTTTTTCTTCATTGATGCAGGCTTATATCACGAGCTTGGGAGATAGCCGGCACACGATATGAGGATCCTATGTTATTAAAGAAACATGCATCTAGCTTGCTGTCTAATGGAGATGGTGTACCGTCATTCGAATTTTGGAATGGACGAACAAGTGGAGGTGATCCATTGAAATTCTGCACTTTTCACTAAGTTATAAACTAAGTTGATTTTGGCCAGAAACACATGTAATCATGCTAGATAAGAATTTTTTATTGTTCAATTCGTGCTTTTACGCAAGTGATAAAGCTTGGCTGAAAAAACCACTCACTGTCATTTTCTCAGCTAATGTTTAATTTCCAAATGCATTCACAAATTCTTCACAATGATAATATTAATATCGCAAAGCTTTCACAACTTGCTGATGTTTTTTTGTCATAACTATTAATAAGTAAGAGCTGTGTAAAAAACTGCAGAAACTGTCCTTCAAAAAGAAGATGGGGCACCACCATGTCATCAGGGATTACCATGTGGCTAACAGATGGGGCACACGGACACCCGAGGTGAAAGACATCTCAATACCCCTTTTAGGACAACAGCACTACAACACTAAGATCGAGACCAAATGCACTTGGTGTTTGTGTGGGTCAAAATCACCTAATGAGAGTCCTCCTGATGAGGCACTTCTTGATTGTCCTTTGAGAGTCAAGTACTAAGTAACACTGGGATAGTCCTTTGTGGCTAGAGCTAGGTTCTGTGAGGTACTTCACCCCCTTGCAGCTTTCATAAGCAAGGGGGAGATTTATCCATCTTATTCTTGAAATTTTGATCATTTGGGTTGCAAGGCATGTTTTCACCAAGGGGAGCACATTGGATCCTAATGATCTCTTAAGATTGTGTAGACGCCATCACATGTCACTCCCTACCTATTATAAATAGCACGTCCTTGCTCCCCCATCACAAGCAAGAACAGAGCTCTAAATCATTCTATGCCTCTCTTTCTCTTAGGCTACCTTGTCTCTCACTTAGCCTGCTCCAAAACTCCTGCATGCCATTTCACAAGTTTTACCACCTTCCATTTGAACTCACCCACACTGAACAAAGGGCATACCCCAATTTGTTAATGTAATAAAAGCAGATTTGTAAACTCCAAAGGATATGATACAAAAATCTTTGATAAGTGGATGGAACAAAGAATAAAATTAAGGCATGGGTTGACCTATACTATGTTATTGCCCTCAAATAAGAATTACTTATTCTTATCTCAAATTAGTGTTTGATATGCATGCTTCATGTTGTTGATCACTTTCTTCATGTTGTATGCATCATCTGATTCATATCCTGTATCTTAGTAGTTCCCATTCACCTATACATTGATTGATGGATTGACTGATTTAAATTTGAGATTACTAGAAGTATTTTGTAGTTCTTTCTTTAATATCTTTGTTATGATTAACATCTTAGAACTTCTTGAAATTTTGTGACATTTGAATATTTGTAAACTAGGGCCAATTCCTATTGCTTGGATAAATTTCTTCAAGAAGGTGAACTCTCTCTCTCTCTGTCTCTCTCTCTCTCTCTCTCATAAGGACCTTTTTTGAGCCATAGTTACTATCTTTTCATTCATTTGAGTTTTCTTTTTCTTTTTTTTTCTTCTTCTCTTCTTTCTAATCATTGAGCAACGAACTTAGGGTCATTGTTTCTTTTTATTCTCGTATATGTCAAGCTATATTTCATGTCAAGGATGGGATGACATATGGACGACTCATTGGTATTTTTTTTTACTTCAAATATATATTTTGCTCTACTGCCCAAGACTCAAAAAATCTTTACAACAGTCTATACTAAACTGCTAGAATTTAGCTGCTTTTTTAGTGTTGATATTATTGGATTGATCCATGATGTGGATCAAATAGTGATGTCCATGGCAGCTAAATAGGTCTTCTAGCACTTTCAATCGGACTTTCATTTACTCATACATAAAATGGGCATACTTTCTTCTAGCTTTCATTTTCCCTTAGTGGAGTTCCATTTTTGTAATGTTGTAGTAGCTGAATAGATCATGTAGAGCATAAATGCTAGCTGATGGAACTGGTTAAACAATTTGTTCCAAGTTGTTGTTTTATGATTTTTCAACTTTCACCCCAGTATATATATATATATTTTAATCGAGAAAAAAAAAATGCTGTCGTGCGCATGTACTCATTGTCATGTTTTCTTTTACTCCTTTTGATTGTTCTTATGCTAAAATGATTTTTCTTCTGCATTTTACACTTTATTTGCTTATGACTTAATTTATGGGTAATCATTGGTTTTTGTAACAAACACTAGAAACATGTCAGGTAGATCAGTTATTGCTGAATTTGCAAGTTCCCGTTATCCACTGTATTTTGCGGTGAGACAACATAATGAAGTGATGTCAACAGAGCAGCCTTGTGATCTAGCATATGAATTTGGAGATGGATTCTTGGGTATCAATGAGTATCCTCCAGGTTTTCCAAGACCAGGTGCGGAAATTCTTATAACATCTAATGCATGGTTGATTTGAATTATGACTCATTTTGTTTTTTCAATCACCTTGTTTATGGGGACATATTTGAGTCATTTCTTGTACTTGTGCTATTGTTTCTTACATTGGATTTTGTTTTCTTTTATCAACATTAAACACTTGTATATGAATATACTGAAATGTCTGCATGGAATTAAGTAGTTGTCAAGTTTTCGTGGAGGAAAAAGGCTATTTTGTGCTTTTCATTCGACTCAAAAGTATTAAATCTTGGTGATTGGTGAGGAATTTGATTTTTATGGATTAAGTACTTCTGGAATTCTCTCTCTCTCTCTCTCTCTCTCTCCAAATATAAATGCACACATACAGATATTTATGATACTTGTCTGGATCTATAATATATAGGATTTATGCAAACACAACATTCAACCATACCAATTGAAGAAAGCAACTTGGGCTTATACATCAATGATAGCCTATGAGAGTGCAGTGGAGCCGGCAACATTGTTATGCAAGTGGCGGTGTAGGTAAAGTGTCGACAGGAGCAGGACATGTAGTGCACGGCTGTAGTTCAGGACCATGACTCTTCATTGTTTATATAATAAGTTTATTTATGGGATATCAATAAAATTTAGGGTTTTAAATTATTAGCCACAATCAGTGTTGGGTGGGGAAAAGGTCTTTCCTACCCAACCCCGACCTAAACTGTGATTTGGTTTTTCTTTCATATGTGCTTTTTGCCATTCTAATCATGTCTCTGTGTGGTAGCAGTCAATAATGTTTTTGAGCTTGCAAAGCATGAGATTTTGATCTTTGGACCAATGTGCCTAAATTGTTATAATTCTTTTCATTTTTGCAGCTAAACACCCATGGCCTTTCAACGATCAGGTTGTTATCTATGTTCGGCATTTGGGACCAGGAGTGCTAGTAGGGCAAGCCTGGCAAGAAGGAGAAGCATTAGAAAAACTACCTCAGAAGTTATGTGGTGAGATCCTAATGGTGAAAGATTATGCTGCTCTTTGTGAACATGAGTGTGGGTAGTTTGGTTTAGGACAGTGAAACTGTTGTTTTGAAATCCCATCCATGTCAAAAGCTTGTGATGTTGGTGTTTGCGATTTTTCATGTATCAAAATGTAGTTTTGAGTTTTGTAATTGGCTATCTGAAGAATCAATGAAGATGTATCAAAATGCAGGTTTGAGTTTTGAAGTTTTGTAATTTGGCTGTCTAAAGAATCAATGAGAACATTCTCTGGTATGTATATTTAATTATTAGTTATTCTATGCGTACAAAATTCAATCTAGAACTAGACACAACTCTCTCACACCGAGTTGAGACTCAACACGTTTAATGTATCTATCTCATACAGAGGACTTTGTCTAGTTCTGTAATTAAATTTTGTGTACTTTGAAAATTTTCTTTAATTATGAGAGGAGAGTTTAATAATATCTAGAGATCCTAATAAAAGAAGAAACTGGAAAGAGAGATGTCCTCAAAATATACTATTTCATTGGTTAAAACAATGTGATGAATCCCTATTTAATTTTGATTAACCTGTTTAAAATGGAGGAGCTTATTTGTTTAGGAAGTGTGTGGCTAAATTAGTATAAAAAGATGAAATAGGCTATTTAATCAATAAGATAAAATGTTATATCTAAATCATAATCATTTTAATTTTTTTCTTAAAACCATCACATTCAAACTGAAAAAAGTGAAATTCTTTCTATATAGGGACTAAATTAGTTTTTTCCAAACGAAAGCTAAAAGTATATGTGAACAAATCAGATGAGTGAATGTTTTATGAGAGTGAGGTGGCTTAAAACAACGAAATATTAGGATGCTTAGGAAATAAAAAAATAGAAAAAAATAATATTCACTATGTTTGGTGGTTGGTTTTTAAACTCAATTTTTTGAAAATTTTAGAGTATTTGTTTGGTTATTCCGAAAATTGACTTCACTTTTCAAAATGATGTGTTGAGAAATTTAAGGAGAGAGACAATTTTGAATATATATATGCTTGAGGACTTTTCAAGTTGAAGTTTCTCTCCAATTTAAGGAGAGAGAGACAATTTTGAAAAAAAAAATTATCACATGAAAAAGTACTCTCATCTTGTGTATATATATATATATATATGTACATACAATATATGTATGAAAATATAATTTGGTATGTATTCATTTATGGGTACATATCTTACCCTTAAATATGTGATTTTATCATAAAATTTTCATTCATTTCAATCACAGAATTAAATTTTTCCAAATTGGCATTAAAAAATTTCTTTCACTGAATTAAATTTTCATAAATGTTATGTACGATTTTGTTAGGAATGGCAATGGGGGGCAATGGGGTGGATATTAATTCCCCATCCCCATTCCCCTATAATAAATTTTTTTCATTCCCCATTCCCCATTCTCCATGGGTACCACCCTCCCCATTTTTTAATGGGTATGAATTTTCCCCAACCCACTTTAATCCCCATTTTTATTTTTCATATTTAATGTTAACAACCACATTTTTTTTAATTTTTTTTTTTAAGGTTCACAACAAAAGTTAAATATACTTTCAATCTTTTTTCTTTCTTTTTTAATATATTTAATGTTAACAACCTTCTTTTTTTTTTTTTTTATAAAGGTTTTAGCTAAATATACCTTCAATCTTTTTTCTTTCTTTTTTAATATATTTAATGTTAACAACTTATTTTTTTATTATTTTTTTATTTTTTTAAGGTTCACAACAAAAGCTAAATATACATTCAATCTTATTTTATTTTATTTGGTTCAACAACAAAATCAAATACACATTAATTAATTAATTAAAAAGTTTGTTTTATAATAATCAAATATATAATTTTGAGACAATCAAATAAGTTTTAGTAATTGAAAAAAAAAAACAGGAAGAACGTGGAAGATTAAAAAAAAATTACAACTATCTCTCTCTCTCTCTCACTCTCACTCTCTCCCCTACATATTATAAGAACCTGATTACAATGTTATAAGAGCCTGTTTGAAGAAATAAAATGTGAAAGAACCTGTTTGAAGAAAGTGTTATAAGACTCATATTAAATTGCATCAGGACAAAAATAAGGAATTGTTTGTTGATCTCTTAGCTACGGACATTTTAGACATTAAGCCTCTGTTTGGCAAGTTGATTTTCAGGCTTTTTTGGCTATTTTAGCCACAAAAAACAAAATAGGCTATTTTAGCCATAACAAACAAAACATCACATCCAACCTATAATCATTACATTCTTCTCTCACAAAAAAAGTCAAAAAAGCCAAAAAGCCCTTCCCAAACCAAGCTTTTTAGTCCAGGCTAAAATAGCCAAAAAAGCCAAAAAGTCAACCTACTTCCCAAACCAAGCCTAAACCATCTTTCTCTTAGCAAATTTGAACAATTCATTTTAATTTATCCAAAATCTAATTATACCTTTAACAAATCTGAACCACTCATTTTTTTTATTTTGTTTTAAGGTTGACAACAAAGTGATTTATGCATTTAATTATGGCAGTGTTTGGAAATAAAATTTATAGATCACTTTAGCCTCTTCAAGAAAAAAATTCAAAAAGTATTGTTGGTGACTTCTCACATGATACACAACTGTAACGGACAAAGGGTAAAATGACGCTTTTGCCTTTTTAATTTTTGAGAAACTCACAACAACAACAATAATACATATAGGGACATTTTGGTCATTTATTATCTCTACATTATTTCAAACACATTTTTCAATACATCAATCTAACAAAAAATCCAACCCATCTTCTTAAATGCAAAAACTAAAATAGTTTACTAAAATAGTCCAATAGGCAAAACCTCTAAAAAGAAAAAAGATTGAATGTATATTTAGCTTTTGTTGTGAATCTTAAAAATTAAAAAAAAAAACAAAAGAAAAAAGATTGAATGATATTTAGCTTTTGTTGTGAACCTTAAAAATTAAAAAAAAAAATTAAAAAAAAACCAAAAGAAAAAATATTGAATGTATATTTAGCTTTGGTTGTGAATCTTAAAAATTAAAAAAAAAATGGTTGTGAACCTTAAAAATAAAAATAAAAAAAGATTGGAGGTATATTTACCTTTGGTTGTGGATCTTAAAAAAAATTTTTTAAAAAAAAAAATCGGTTGTGAACTTGAAAAAATAAATAAATAAAAAAAAGAAAAAAGATCGAATGTATATTTAGTTTTGGTTGTGAATCTTAAAAAAAAAAAAAACATGGGGAAATTAGTGGGTACCCATTCCCAACCCATCTCCTGTGGATATTTAAAAAATATCACTTATCCTACCCAATGGATAAGAAAAAGAGCGAAAAATCCATGTATTTGGGTTGGGTCTTCATGGATACCCACAGGGTAGGTTATCCATTGCCATCCCTAGATTTTGTAAGTAAATTTAAACATAAATTTATGATTTTGTAAATAAATTTGTAAACAAATTTACGATTTTGTAAATAAATTTAAACATAAATTTGTAATTTTTTTAAGGGAAAATCGGTCTAAGGTCCCTATCCAACTTTTAGTAATAGATTAGGTCCACAATATGTTCTTTTGTAGTCTAAGGTCCCTCACCCCATTCCCACTCGTAAACTCACCCATCTCACACCACTCTCACCACCACCACCACCACCACCACCGCCAGAATCTGACCCATTAGGAGGGCACAACAACTCGAACAGCGAGCTATCACCGAGGGAGCAAGACAGGTTCCTTCCGATCGCGAACGTGAGTCGAATCATGAAAAAGGCTTTACCGGCGAACGCCAAGATCTCCAAGGACGCCAAGGAAACAGTTCAAGAGTGCATTTCAGAGTTCATCAGCCTCATCACCGGCGATGATTTGCTCTGGGCCATGACGACACTAGGGTTTGAAGAATACGTCGAGCCATTGAAGGTGTACTTGCTGAGGTTCAGAGATATGGAAGGGGAGATATGTTGTGTCCTGTTTGGTAATTGATTTATGTGCATTTAAAAAAAATTTATGAAAAAATTTGTTGCAGTTTTAACAAGTCGAAGATGAGTTGAGTATGAATAATTTGATTTTTTTAAAAGTATGCACACAAACTAGTTCTTACAAAATTCTCTGGTTTGGTTGGACTGAATTTTCTCTAGGTTAAACCCAGAGAAATTTGAATTTTCTCTGGGTTAGATGTGTATATAAAAACCAGTTTGTGAATGTTCATTCATTGACCAACAAAACGAGCTTGGAATAAACATGAGAAATATAGAAGGCCAAGTCAAACTTGGTGTAAACTGGTTGTTGATTGATATGCAGTTGGTTTTGCAGATTTGGCCAATTCTGCAGACTAATATGAGTTGAGCAAAGCAGGAGTAGAAGCAACAGGAGAACCCAAAAATTTTGGAACAAAGCTACGATTAGAATTGGAAATTGGTTGTGCTATGTTAGGAACAGGTACTAGTATTCTGGTTATAAATGACTAGTTTGCAAGCTTGGAAACTGATATGTTAGACACACATGATGACTTTATTTCTTCTAATGAATCAGAAATAAAAGAATGGGATTTTCCTGAGGAGGAACTAGAATCTAATGATTTGGGAAGTCGCAATTTATCATGAATATCAACAGAAACAGAAGCTATGGCAACAGCAGCTATTGCATCTGGTCATGCCCAGAGAAATTCTTTGGGTTGAGAGAATTTCTCTGGCTGGGATTTTTCTCTGGATTGTGGAGTCCTGAGAAATTCTCTGGGTGGGAGAATCTTTGGAAATATATGTCTGAGAATTTCTTTGGGTTTGGGGAGTCTAGAGAAACATAATTCCTTTTTTTTCCCTCCCTTCCTCACATCAGCTTCCTCCATACCTTCTCCCTTTCCTTCCCTTTTCTCCCCTTCCACCTAATTGGCAGTCATAGTTATATATATATATATATATATATATTCACAATTCCCAGAGAAATTTGAATTTTCTCTAGGTTGAATCCAGAGAAATTCTGAATTTCTCTGGATGAAATTTCTCTGAACCAATTTTCTCTGGACTAATTTTCTGTGGACCAATTTTCTTTGGATCAACCTGAGGGACCTTAGACATTATGAAAATATTTGGTGTCCTTTATGCTAGAAAATGTTAATACCAGGGACCTTAAAAAAAAAAATTCCTTTTTTTAATGCCAATATGTAAAAAAAAAAATTATGTTTTCAGAAAATTTGTAAATAAATTTCCAAAATTTTTGATTTTTTTAAATCAAATTTGTAAATAAATTTTCTATATAACATTTATAAAAATTTAATTCTACGAAAGAAATTTTTTTATGCTAATTTGAAATTTTTTTTTACGTTTGCTGTTGTTGAAATGAGTGAAACTTTTATCATAAAGTCATACAGTTAATGGTATGATATGTACCCATAAATGAGTACATATCAAATTATGTTTTCATACATATATAACATGTATATATACAAACCTAAAATGAGAGTATTTTTTTATGTAATCAAATTTTTTTTTTAATTGTCTCTTCTTAAATTGGAAGGAACGTTGAAATTGCAATGATTCATCTTTTTGAAAACCAAAATGAAAAAGTACTCTCATCTTGTATATATATATATATATATATATATATATGTACATACAATATATGTATGAAAACATAATTTGGTATGTAGTCATTTATGGATACATATCTTACCATTAAATATGTGATTTTATCATAAAATTTTCATTCATTTCAACCACAGAATTAAATTTTTCCAAATTGGCATTAAAAAATTTCTTTCACAGAATTAAATTTTCATAAATGTTATGTACGATTTTGTAAGTAAATTTAAACATAAATTTATGATTTTGCAAATAAATTTGTAAACAAATTTAAACATAAATTTGCAATTTTTTTAATGCCAATTTGTAAAAAAAAAATGTTTTCAGAAAATTTGTAAATAAATTTCCAAAAATTTTGATTTTTAAAATCGAATTTGTAAATAAATTTTCTATATAACATTTATAAAAATTTAATTCTACGAAAGAAATTTTTTTATGCTAATTTGAAATTTTTTTTTACGTTTTCTGTGGTTGAAATTAGTGAAAATTTTATGATAAAGTCATACAGTTAATGGTAGGATATGTACCCATATCAAATTATGTTTTCATACATATATAACATGTATATATATATAAAACTAAAATGAGAGTATTTTTTGATGCAACCAAATTTTCTTTTTTTAATTGTCTCTTCTTAAATTGGAAGGAACGTTGAAATTGCAATGATTCATCTTTTTGAAAACCAAACAAAGATTTTTTTCAAAATAGAGTTTCCAAATCACTTTTTTTTTAAAAAAAATTCAAAAAAATTGAAACAAAACATAGTAATTTATATTTTTTTAAAACACCTTCGCAAAATTGAAAAAGCAATATGACAATAAAAAAAATAAAAATTAATCTATCACATCTTTTGCATGGTCAACAAACACTATAGGATCTTCGCAATTGGTCATTTCCTTGCCAAATTCATCAGATATAGAGGTTCAAGAGAGTCTCCCCATATATAAAAAACTTTCATGTGACTTGGGAACTGATTCTGTGGCGTTGATATGATATCTCACTTTTTATCGGACACGTTTTTTCTTGACAAATCGATTTTTAAGAATGAATTTTACTCACAAATTGTATTGTTTGATATCAAAGCTATTAGTTACGAGACAATTTATAAGCTAAATTAAGATAATGTCTAAATTTAATCATGTAAATATTAACTTCTTCGCTCGTGGTCTGATTGTGGACTTGTACCAAATGAGGGTGACAAACGGATATTTTGATTTGTCTAAATCATCGAACTAAATTGATTTTCTGTATTTTGGACAGATACATGATGACAAATTGTCGGTTACGGATTGATTTTTTTTCAATCTGCCTAGTTTTAGACGGTTGGCGGATTTGAAATTTTTTTTATCGCAACCGAATTACCAAACCTCGAGCACCCCTAGTAATTTATAAGATTTCGTATTTTTAATTTAGTTAGATATTCTATTTGTATTTTCAATTGAAAAAAAGTTGAGATATTCTGTTGTGTTTTTAATTTGGAAATCTTTTTATCATATGGCAAGTGTTGATATTTTAGTATTTTTGTGTAGAAAATATAAGGTTTAATTTTGTCATTGTAAAAAAAAAAATCAAATTAAATACTTTTTTTAAAAAAATGAAATAGTTTTGATAATGCATAGTTTTTTTTATACGTATTTATTATTAGTATTTAACAGTTTACTCGATAATTTTTTGATTATATTAAGTTAGATTGTTATAAAAAAAAATATTAATAAGTTATATTGTATTCAAAATTTGTAAAAATTTAAATTGCCAAACCAATTCGTATTTATCTGTCAATCCGCATTCGTCAATCTGACAGACGGATGCGAATTGATTTTTTCTAATCTGTCAATCCAACGGACGAATGACAAATTTGAAATTTTCTGACTGCAACCGAATTGCCAACACCCTAGTACCAAATTAAAAGAAGAAGGATCAGATTGACATTTTAGACAACAAAAATGATTGAGAGCTTTAATAAAAGAGTTCTAATGGAGGTGAATCCTACTGTGATGTGATGTTTTGATTTTAATTTTTTTATAATTTTTTTTATTTTTTACTATATCATTAAAACCCAATTAAAACTTTAAAATTAGGAGGTGTATTACTGATAAATTTATTCTCCTTTTTGTTAATATATATTTTTTAATCTTGATTTTTTCAACTTGTTATCAGCACAGCGGCACTTTTCTCTTCTCATAAGCGCGCTCTCTCTCTTTCTCTCTCCTCCGTCCGTGTCCAACTCGTTCCAAATTTCTCAAGACTTGATCAGAAATCTCAAAACCCAAAGAGCTTTCACAAAAAATGTTTCCACAAACCCCGACTCTCACATCCCACCTTCCACCTTCAATCCTCCTCCCCACCAGTACCCACTTCTTCAAATCCAATTTCTTCCCTTTAAAACCATACCCATTTCTCAAATCCTCGTTTCAGCCTCTGAAATGCTCAGTTTCAGTGGTTCCAGAGCCCACCCATTTGGAATTGAGCACAAACAATCACAAACCATTCCCAGCTGAGGTTTCAAGAACAATCATGGAGTTGTCTTCTGTGGGAACTCTCTCTACCTTGACCCAAGATGGTTGGCCTCTTGGTATCGGTGTTCGCTTCGCTGTCGATTCCCAAGGCACTCCTGTTTTGTGCTTGAATGCCTCCAACAGGCAATTCTCTATGGATAGGTCTACCCTCCATGTTCAGGTACTTCTTTCACTATTAAATTCAATTTAATTGAAAAGTTTCAATCTTTGTTGAGTTAGTTGATTGGTGGTTTAGTTGGGTTTTCACTATTATCTATATTTTTGTTTATGGAAAATCCTAACTATTGACCTGCGGCATTGTTTAATTAATATCAGTATTTACGTGAAAAGTGTTGTGAAAATAGGGGAAAAGATTATAAGTGTTATGAAATTAGTGAAAATTGTTTTGCTATGTTAGTTGTTTAGTGGTTTAATTGGGTTTGTCTATATCTATGTTTATGCTTATGGCAAATGCTAACTTGAAAGTGTTTTGTTGTGTTAGTTGTTTGGTGGTTTAGTTGGGTTTTTGTTAATATATGATATATATATTATTTTTTGTATTCCTTATTTAGACTATAGGCTCCTCCCTATTAGGTATGTTCAAATCTTGCCTTATTCTCTCCCTACCTTATTCTTTCCTTTTCTTATTCTTTCCCTTGTATAGCACACCTTATAGTCCTATATATATATACCCATAGCTTTGTATTGTATAGATATCAATTGAATACAATCTCTTTTCTCTCTTATGTTTCTTCTCATGAATATTCTGCTTTCATGGTATCCGAGCAAGGTCAAAATCCTTGATCCTCTTCATTCCTGCAGTACACAAATACTACTCCATCCACTACACACAGTTTAGCAACACATCATCTCTATTCTTCTCAACTTGCCTAGTAACCAAAATTGTCGAAATCAACTTGTGAATACATCAAACTCTTCCTCTCATTACCAGGAGTGCAACGGTGCAAAAATCAAGGCCCATTGACCCTTCACGCGCTTCCACGCGCTGCCTCAATTTTTGCGCATAATTCTACGCGCCGCACTCACCTTCTCTGCGCACCTCTGTCCTTTCGCTGACGTCAGCCGTACGCGTCAGCCTCCTGCTCTCTGATGTTAGCCCCCTCAGCTTCCGCATCAGCCAGACTCTGCGCCTCTCCTACGTGCGCAGTGCCTCACTATGCTAACGTGTGCCGCGCCTCACTCTGCCAATGTGCGCCGCTTTGATGAACCCCACTCATTTTCTTATTTCTTTGCTACTGTTAAATTTAATGTTCTCTTAAAACAAAATTAAAAAAAAAAACTTGTTATTTTTCTGTTGCTTTATATGGATCGTTTTGACATGGCCCAACCAATTTCCATCATTCTTGATGGTTCTAATTACACCATTTGGGTTCAAGCCATGTCTAGTTTTTTCAAAGGGAAGAAGTTGTGGCGTCTTGTTACTGGTGATACTGTCAAACCTGTCAAAAATACGGATGAACTTGCCACTAAATATGAAGACCGACTTGATGATTGGGATAGTAAAAATCATCAAGTCACCACATGGCGCCGTAATACTTCCATTGTCTCCATTAATCTTCAATTTGGGTGCTTTGACGGAACAAAGGAAAGCTGGGATTTTCTAAAGACTTGTTATAGCACTACTGCTCTTGCTCACCAATATCAACTTCTTAGCCAACTTCATCACATGCGCCAATAATCCGGTCAATCTATCAATGTTTTTCTGTCCCAGATGTATGCTGTTCGGGATCAATTGTCTCTGTCTAAACCTGAATGGAACTGCAAGGTTGGTGTTAGTCAGTTCTCCACATATCGAGATGAACAACACTTGATATCCTTTCTGGTGGCTCTTCAGGATGATTTTGAACTGGTTCAAGCTTCTCTTCTCCACTGCCATCCATTTCTAACTTTAGAACATGCCATCTCTGAGCTTCTTTCTGAAGAAACTCGTCTTGGCTCTCTCAAGTCTCCACAGACTCATAATGTTCTTGCTACTTCTTATCAGTCTAGCAAACCGTCTGTTGCTCAATCATGCACTTATTGCCATAACGCTCATCATGGTTTACTTACATGCCCAATCTGGATTTGTAAGGGGTGCAACAAGACTGGTCCTGGCCATTATCAGAGTGATTGCTTCAAAAATCCCAATTGCCAACCTCGTGACAATCGTTCCAAAGGAGGTCAATCTTGACCCCATTATTGCTATCGATCAGCTGCTCATTCTCATTCTACTGCTGCCACATCTTCCTTCGATGTTGCTCCTCTTGAGCCCAACCAAATGTTCACACTTCATGACATTGAATCCATAGTCAAACAAGTTCTCTCTACTTCTAGTACACCATCTACTGCTCTTTTAGTCACCTCAGATACCTCCTCATGGTTCTTTGATTCTGCTTGTTGCAATCATGACATCTGATTCTACTATTTTCTCTTCTACCATGCCTACTTCTAATATTCCTGCCATTTACACTGCTGATGGCTCTCCCATGCGTGTTAGCCATATAGGCCATGTCTCTACTTCTACTGTTTCTCTTCCTAGCACTTATTTAATTCCTCACCTTACTCTCAATTTAATCTCTATTGGGCAACTTTGTGATCTTGGTCTTACTGTTCTTTTCTCTTCCTCTGGTTATGTTGTGCAGGACCCTCGGACGGGACAGACTCTTGGGATCAGCCGTAAAACTGGACGTTTATACAAGCTCATTCATCTTCACATTCCATTTCAACTCTCTCCTCTTACAGTCGTGCTGCCACATCTTCCTTCGATGTTGCTCCTCTTGAGCCCAACCAAATGTTCACACTTCATGACATTGAATCCATAGTCAAACAAGTTCTCTCTACTTCTAGTACACCATCTACTGCTCTTTCAGTCACCTCAGATACCTCCTCATGGTTCTTTGATTCTGCTTGTTGCAATCATGACATCTGATTCTACTATTTTCTCTTCTACCATGCCTACTTCTAATATTCCTGCCATTTACACTGTTGATGGCTCTCCCATGCGTGTTAGCCATATAGGCCATGTCTTTACTTCTACTGTTTCTCTTCCTAGCACTTATTTAATTCCTCACCGTACTCTCAATTTAATCTCTATTGGGCAACTATGTGATCTTGGTCTTACTGTTCTTTTCTCTTCCTCTGGTTATGTTGTACAGGACCCTCGGACGGGACAGACTCTTGGGATCAACCGTAAAACTGGACGTTTATACAAGCTCATTCATCTTCACATTCCATCTCAACTCTCTCCTCCTACAGTCGCCGCCTCCACTAGTTGTACTCTCGACCTTTGGCATTCTCGTCTCGGCCATGTGTCATTTAGTCATTTACGTGGTTTAGTGTCAAGTGGTCAGTTAGGTCATGTTACAAATAATTTAGTGGATTGTTTATCTTGTTAACTTGCTAAACAACCATCTTTACCATTTAATAAAAGTGTTTCTATGTCCCATGCATTCTGATGTCTGGGGGCCTTCACCACATCCTACCATGGGGGGATCTCCGTATTTTGTAATTTTTGTGGATGATTTTAGTTGATTTACCTGGTTATTTCTAATGAAAAATCGTTCTGAATTACCACAATACTAGTATGATTTTGCTAATATGGTCAAGACACAATTTTCTCGCACCATCAAAAATTTTCTTGCCGACAATGCCCAAGAATATAAAGAAACTAATTTTTTAAAATTTCTCCATCACCATGGTACAATTCCTCACTCCTCTTGTCCTAGCACATCTCAACGGAATGGTCGTGCCGAACGCAAACATCGTCACCTTCTTGACATTGTTCGTGCCTTTTTAATATCTGCCTCTTGTCTTGAACTTTTTTGGGGAGAGGCTGTCCTCACTGCTGCTTACACTATTAATCATGTTCCCTCTCCCATCATCAACAATCAAACTCCATATGAGTGTCTCTATGGTAAGTCTCCAGCTTATAATCATCTTCGTGTTTTTGGTTGTGCATGTTTTATCTTATTACAACAACATGAATGTAACAAATTAGAACCTCGGGCTTGTCTTTGTTGCTTCTTGGGATATGGCATTGAACACAAAGATTATCGCTGTTGGGATCCCATCTCTAAACGCCTTCATGTCTCTAGACTTGTCGTCTTTTGGGAACATAAAATGTTCTCTTCCATGTCTCCATTCCACAACTCTGATTCTCCCACTACACCATTTTTCACGGATCCCTCCATTCCTCTATTTTCTGATGATGAGTTTGAAACAGATGCTACTAATAAGCTTCCTACAGGTCCACTCCCCTCTACAGAGTCTGGCTCTCCTGACGGTCCTACATATCCATCTCCTATTATTCTTAGTCCTCCCGCTTCTCTTGAAGTCCCTGTATCCACTGATCCTCCGGAGCTTCCCACTGAATCCTCTGTGCTTCCTAATACATCTTTTCGTCAATCTACCCGGGTAAAAGAACCTTCTGTCTTGCTTTGTGACTATCATTGTTATTCTACTATTTTCTCTCAACATGAACCTCACTCTTATCGTGAGGCTAGTGCTAACCCCCTTTGGCAGCAAGCAATGGTAGAAGAGTTACAAACCTTGGACCAAATTGGCACATGGGAGTTGGTTGACCTTCCTCATAACAAGCCTTTGGTTGGTTGCAAATGGGTCTACAAGATTAAGACACACTCTGATGGGATTGTTGAACGTTATAAAACCCGTTTGGTTGCTAAGGGCTTTACACAAGAATATGGAATTGACCATGAAGAAACCTTTGCACCTGTGACTCGTCTCACCTCTGTTCGAAGTTTAATTGCTGTTGCTGCCATTCAAAAATGGACATTATTTCAGATAGATGTCAAAAATGCATTCTTGAATGGTGATCTTCAAGAAGAAGTCTATATGCAACCACCTCCTAGATATCCCCACTCATCTAATCAGGTCTGTAAATTTCGAAAGGCACTCTATGGACTCAAACAAGCTCCTTGCGCATGGTTTTCAAAGTTTAGTTCCACCATCCAGGCCCTTGGTTTTTCTTCCAGCTCTTATGATTTTGCTCTCTTTATCCGCAAATCTCAACATAGTATTGTTCTTCTTCATCTTTATGTGGACGATATGATTCTTACTGGTCATGAAGTTCATGGAATTTTTGCACTCAAAAAGTCTCTTAGTGAACACTTTGAGATGAAGGATTTGGGTACTTTCACGTATTTCTTAGGCCTTGAGATCTCTTCTAGTGCCGATGGCTATTATCTCTTTCAAGCCAAATATGTTTTTGATCTTCTAGCAAAGGCTGGCCTCATTGACAACAAAACTATCTCTACTCCTCTCGAGCCTAATGAACACCTAACACCACTGGACAACACTCCTCTTCCCAATGCCACCTTGTATCAACAATTAGTCGGCAGTCTTGTTTATCTCACTGTTACTCGACCTGACATTGCACATGTTGTTCATCTTGTTAGCCAATTTTTGTCAGCTCCTCGATCTACACATTATGTTGTTGTGCTTCGCATTCTTCGCTATGTTAAAGGCACTGTTAGAATTTACCATCACCTACCACCAATTTACCATCACCTACCACCACCTACTCCTCACCTACTCCTCACCTACTCCTCACCTACTACACTCACCCTCTCCTATATAATGAGCCACTCACCATTTGTAATATACAACAACACAATATCAATCAATAATAAGATCATCAGATACATTTATTCTCTCTGTATTTTTCTCTTTATACATTGATTTTTAACAGGCACTTTATTTCATGGTCTTCACTACTCCTCTAGTTCTGCACTCTTATTACGTGCCTATTCTGGTGTTGATTGGGCTGGTGATCCGACTGATCGTCGCTCTACCACGGGATTCTGTTTCTTCTTGGGTGATTCTCTTATATGTTGGCGTAGCAAGAAACAAACCTCGGTCTGTCGCTCCAGCACTGAATTTGAATATCGTGCTCTTACTGATACCGCTCACGAGCTCCTTTGGCTTCGTTGGTTACTTTTAGATATGGGTGTTACCTCTTCTGTTGCCACTCCTCTATACTGTGACAATCGTAGTGCTGTACAAATTGCGCATAATGATGTTTTCCATGATCGAACCAAACACATTGAGATTGATTGTCATTTTGTTCGCCAACCTGACACTCAAGGCACTATTCATCTTCTTCCTATTTCTACTGTTGATCAAATTGCTGACATCTTCACCATGACCCTTCCACCTGGACGTTTCCAAGATTTGGTTTCCAAACACAAGTTGATTTCTACCTTGCCACCTTGAGTTTGAGGGGGGATGTCAGTATATGATATATATATTATTCTTTGTATTCCATATTTAGATTATAGGCTCCTCCCTATTAGGTATGTTCAAATATTGCCTTATTCTCTCCATACCTTATTCTTTCCTTTTCTTATTCTTTCCCTTGTACAGCACTGCTCATAGTCCTATATATATACCCATAGCTTTGTATTGTATAGATATCAATTGAATACAATCTCTTTTCTCTCTTCTGTTTCTTCTCATATGAATATTCTGCTTTCAGTCTATATCTATATTTACATTTATGGCAAATGCTAACGAGTGACTTGGGTTGTTGTTTAATAGCAGGATTGGTGAGAAGAGTGCTTTGAAAGTGTTTTGTTATGTTGGTTGGTGGTTTTGGTGGGTTTGTCTATATCAATAGTTATGTTTATGGCAGATGCTAAGAGTGATGATCTGCTCATTGTTTAATATCAGGATTAGTGTGAAAAGTGCTTTGGAATTTGCCGAAAAGGTTGAAAATGTTATGAAATTAGTAAAAATTATTTGAACTAGGTGAAAAAATGTCTCGTGTTCTTCAATTTTTTGTTTTTTCTTGTCCCAGGGGCCCTTGTTAGCAAATTATGAAATTTGGAGAGACTGATATATTGTGATTATGATTGTGATCTGCTTTCAAACAGTTAGAACAGACTGGATTGCGGACTCCGCAGTGCACAATTCAAGGTAGCCTTGACAAACCAGAAGACAGAATGCTTCTCAAGGTAAATATTCGTCTTTGAGTAAATCAATGTAGTAAGGTAGGTTGTTTTGGTTCTTCTGCTAATTAATTGTGTTTTATATTATACTAGTTAGTTCTACTAGTTTCTCTGCAATTAGAACTCAGAAGTAGTCTGTATTAAATGAAATCGTAAGACCACATTGACAAATTTCAGCTCAATTAAACTCAACTAAGCCTTATTATGTCAGTTTGATCAAACAAATTATGTTCTGCCATACTTCTGCGCCTATAGCAATATCATTCTTTGTGGAATTCCCCAAAATACACCTATTCAAGAACGCTTGTGTGTACTTTGTGATAACTTTTTCTCGTGTACATATTGTTTCAGTAATCACAATCATGCTCTCTCTCTCTCTCTCTCTCTCTCGTGTGTGCGTGCACTTGTGTGCCCATGCACGTGCTTGTAAATGTTTAATTATTGAAGGAGTTCCTAGTGACAAGCTTGTTGCCTGAGTGTGACCTTTATGATGTATTGCTCAGTTAAGTATAGGCACTGGAACTTGACTTAAATTTTGGTTAGTAAAATAGTCTTACAACTGCACGACCAAATTCTTGACCATTTTCCCAAGAAGTTTTCATAATTGCACAAGGAGTTTTTATCTTCTTGTTCTGGCACACAATGTTTTCACAGGAGAAAATTGTCATTACCATTCTGAAATGACATGTAATAAGAGACTAGATTTAATTATGAACTAATATGGCTAAAAACTATTTTAGGTCATAAATTAGTTTTTGAATCAAAATTTGAAGTTTATTTGTACGAAGTCAACATGTCAACCTCCAAATTTAATTTTGTAATATTTGGACAAAAGAAATTTTTGTCAATTTGTGGCATTTTGTAAATGCAGACGGTGAGGGAACCATACAACACTCTTATTCTTACAAATGGAACTATACACGGAGGAATGGCTCAACTGTGAACACGCCCATGAGCAGTAATTTTAGTTGGTTTTGGTTATTTCTTTTGATATTGTTGCTGTGTTCAAGGAATAATGGCATAACCTTGTAAAATAGGGTTTAACCATTTTAAGGTTTGGAAACAAAGGCTGGGTAGAATTGATGAACTTTAAAAGGCTGCAAATAGCAAGAGAAGAAGAAGAAACTCGAGGCATCACAACCAAATTCCAAAATTTGCCACTTTTTTAACGTTACTTTTTCTTAATTTTCTTATGGTCTACGTCAACATATGATCTCTAAATGCTCTACATGACTGGTTTATTACTTTGTAATATGTTTCTATTTTTTTTTATCCTTATAATAGAATATACTGAGTGCATTTGTTGTTATCTGTTCATTGCACTGATAAAAGGTTATGACTTTGATTGACTTCTCATTTGGTTGTTCAAGCTTCTTCTTTCGACAGAAGCTTCATTCCATATGGAAAACGAGGTTTGGAGAAGAAGTGAATGAAGACTATATATATATCGTTGCTGTTGAACGGGTATTTCAGATGGAAGATTTTACTGAGGTGTGTTGGGTTATTCACTATCGTTACTTACTATTATGTGGGCAATTCTATTGAACATTTGAGTGTGCTGTATGGCTTGTAGGATGGCACGTGGGTCACATCATCAGATTATAAAATGGCAAACCCTGATCCACTCCGGGACTTTGCAGAAAGACTTGTGGATGAGATTAACACTCACAACATGGAAGATGTTCATCGCTTTTCCAACATCTATGTTGATTTGGATTTCCCGGTTTGTACCCAATTCAGTTTTCTATTTTTTTAGTCTCTCTTTATTACATTCATTTCCTCTTCCTGACATATAGGGTCGGAAACAAACTTCTAAATTGATGGAAGATTGTTCCAAGTGTAGGGTTTTTTATTATTTTGTTTTTAAATGTTTGGTTTTGCAGGTATTAGAAGCAAAATTGGTTTGGGTTGACCGGTTAGGCTTTGACATGCATCTCACCTCTCCCCAAAACGATACATTTGAGGCCCGAATTCCTTTCCCTAGAGAAGTGACAGACGAGAAGGGTGTAAAATCATCTTTCAACGGTATGTCTCAACTTGCTTGGGAGGTGGAAAAGAATTATCACGTCCCCGATTTCAAGAAGGTGAAACAACTGAAGAAGATCACATCCAGAGGATATTAACTAGTAAGTAACTATGTTTTTGTGTATTATTTATGCATAGGATAAACTTGGCCTTTCTCTTCTGTCTTGAACTATAGATTTCTCTAAGAGAAATGCCCAAACATCATTAGTTTCATGTTTTTGTGAGAGGTTTTCATTCTGGCTGATCAAAAATTGATGTGTTCTGATTCTTTGAAGTTGAAAAGATGTTTGTGGGGGATTGGATTAATGCCCACAAGAATGTAACTTTGTAGTCATGTCTTTTTCTTCTAGATATCTTCTGCTTGGTCTTACCTCATTTATGTAGACAAACAGAGGGCTTCCAGTAGAATTATAATCTCATCAAGATTTTCTCCCCACTTCAGACACTTCTAAAGTTATGATGTGGTTTGTTTCTGTTGTTTTTCTTTTTTGGTTTGATTCTTCATATATATATATATATATATAGTTTGGGAAAGACTAGGGATCAATTGTAGGATGGCTATTACCGAATCAGTTTTGGCTCCTGTCACAAGTTATAATAAGTTGATGCTTAGATGCGTTTGGTTTAGATTATTGGCTTAAAAGGGTCAAAATAAATTGTAAGTTTGTTTGGTACATCTTTTGATAATTTGTGAAAAAGTTGAACTTGTTTGGTTAAATAGACGGTAATTTTTTTTTTTTTTTTTTTGTGTGCAAATATTTGACTAATATTTGACTAACAAAATGGCCTTTAATAAGACCGCGTGAAGAAGAAGGATTCATGTGACTGACCCCATTTGATGGGATTCAAGGCTTGATTTGGTTTGGTTTGTTGTGCAAATATTTAGAATATCATTAAAAAAAATTTTACGCCCATAATTAAGATGAAAAGATAGGAGCTTATTTTGTTCCCATGTATTTAATGTTTCAAATAAGTTAGAAAAAGCTACCTATTGTAGATTAAGAAAAAAAATCATTTTTTGTAATATATGTTGAAAAAATAAATTAAGTTATTTAAAATTACAACGAAATACAACTAGTCAACTTTTATTTTACTTTTATGCTAAACAAGTTGAGTTATAAATGTTGGATAATTTTTATTGTAATTAATTAATTCTGTTTGTGTACTTAACAACAAACAGAATACAAAAGAAATAAAAGAAAGGAGAGAAAATTGTTTGATTACAAAAATTAAACTAGAAAAAAAGAAATATTTGCACAACAAACCAAACCAAATCAAGCCTTGAATCCCATCAAATGAGATCAGCCACATGAATCCTTCTTCTTCACGCGGCCCTATTAAAGGCCATTTTGTTAGTCAAATATTAGTCAAATATTTGCGCGTTTATTAAATAAATAAAACAGAATAATAAATTAAACAACTTATTTGATTAATTTCTTCGAATAATAATCTGATCAAGTCCAATGTTTGACACTGTGTCCTTAAGACAAATTCGTCCTCTCCTCGATGCTTTCAGAATATGGACGTCTATCTCCCATGATGAAATGATCAACAACAAATAAATGCAGCACTACAATTTATTTGTTCAACGAACACACTTAGTGTATACTCTCTTTCTCACAGAAAAATAATGGAATAAATGCAGCAAAATGCAGAGATGAATTGCAGCAAAAGAGGGACGAAAATTGGAGAGAATCTGATCAATGAGGGTTGGTCTATTTATAGAAGTAATGGCACCTTTTAATTTTGAATTGAACAGGTAGCATACCTGTTGGGTTTGAATTTGAACAGATAACAGAATCTGTTTGAATTTCAAATCTGTTTGGGTGGATTTAAATTTGAACCGAACAGATTCAGTTTTGGATAGATCCGAACCTGTACAGAATTTCTGAAGAGGTGCAAATAAAATTACCCAACCTCATACCACGCATCCGCGCCCAGTCCAGCCCAGCCCAGCCCAGCTTGCTCGTGTGTGTGGTGATTTTTGAGTCCAATGGGTCTAGCCCATTTTGTCCATAACCTCTTCTTTCTACAAACTTGAGGGGCCCCAAACTTGAGGTGCCCCTTGGGGCCCTCCACAAGTTATAAGTCCAAACTATATAAACCCATTTAAAACTTCCTACCAAATCAATGTGGGACAAGTCATTTACACAAACCAAGGAATTTCTACCAAAACTCTATTTTCATGAAACACACTTTGGCTTCAATTTTCCATTCACTCGATAATGGTTTTGAGCAACCATATATACCACGTGAATCACAACGCGGTATAGAACACGTTACCACTTAGACCCGCCAATTTTGGCGCATGGGTCCTACCTAAATAATTGACCAAAGATAGGAAAAAAAATTCTAGTTTTACCCAGAATTTCAAACCATTTCTAACAATCCCCCATATGAATGGAATTTGATGACAACGAAAATGCAACAATATCCAGAATATGTCGAAAGAGTATAAATGGAAAATATCTTGCATCAGGATAGGTAGCTTTCGGCCTTGAACCTTCCCTAGTGATAATCTATCGGACTTATTAGCTAACCAATGGACGCGATGCCTTGAATTGTTCAGCCGTTTGTGTAAGCTAAGACAATAGATTTCACACAAAATATCTTCTAACACATCGTTGTTCTTACTGTTGTGTTCATTTTGGCCTTGAACGCTCTTGGTTTTCATGAGTGTTTCTAGAAAATTTAGCCTCTTTATTTTCATAGAACCGGCCCCAGTTCGACACTCATATAGGTGATTCTTATTGTGAGTATCTCCTTATATTCGTCTTAATTTTCATGCCTAAATTAAGATATAAGTAATCATTAAAAGTTAAGCTTATCCTTATACCTCTACAGACAACACATGCTGCAGATATCACTCTCACCATAGGAATGGGTAAGGAAATTTAATCCCTTGGTGATTTTTGGCGAGCCACACATAACTTAGTTGTCCCTTTGAACTTAGTTCTTGGGATGTCCAGTCATATAAGTAGGGTTACCATTATGATGACTCTTATATAATAGGCTTTAATCGCATCCCCTTCGATGAACTATACACTAGCTCTTTTGTCAAACCTTTTATTAACGGATCCGCAATATTCTCTTTAGATTTTATATAATCTATTGAGATTATTCCATTTGACAACAATTGCCTTACGGTATTATGTCGACGACGAATATGCCGTGACTTACCGTTATACATATGATTCTGTGCCCTGCTTATTGCAGATTGACTATTACAATGAATGCAAATAGCTGACACAGGTTTTGGCCACATTGGAATATCTTCTAAGAAGTGACGAAGTCATTCTGCTTCTTCTCCTGGTTTATCTAAAGCAATGAACTCAAATTCCATTGTAAATCGTGCGATGCATGTTTATTTTATGGACATCCAAGAAACAGCAGCACCTCCCAGAGTAAAGACATATCCACTAGTGGATTTTGAATCTTTAGTATCCGATATCCAATTGGCATCACAATAACCTTCGAGTACTGCTGGATATCGAGTAAAGTTCAAACCATAATCACGGGTAAATCTTAGATATCTAAAAACCCGAATGGTCGCTTTCTTCGTGCCGGCTTCCTCTGTCTTGTATTTATTTCCCAAAGAATCCCACAATTCTTTTACTATTTTTAGAGAACTGTAAACATTATACAGCATATTGTCAAGGCCATTGAGGATGTAGTTTCTGCACAAGAAATCTGAATGTTTCCAAGTATCTACAGTGACAACAACTTGCCGATCACTTTCACCCTCTTTAAGTGCTAGAGCCTCTTCACGGAGAAACCGGGTCAAATTAAGAGTTGTAAGATAGAACAACATCTTCTGCTGCCATCTCTTAAACTTAATACCGTTAAATTTTTTCGATTTTTCTGCATGATTGATTGGTACTTGAACATGGTTCTGGATAGGGATCGGTGTTGGTGTAACAATTGGAGTACCACTACCAGTTGCAGTAGCCATAATCTCTTATTACAAAAATCAGAAAAAATTAAACCACAAATTAATTTTCTAGTTACTAAAACCAGAAAATAAATTATAACACAAAATAATTTTATTTTCCTTGTTACTAAAACTAGAAAAATAAAATACCACAATAATTTTCTGTAACACAAATTAATATTCTGCACTTGTTAATGACACCAGTATATTATTACTAGTTGTCAAAGAAAATAAACAGTATATTACTACTATCTGTCAAATAGCATAAACCACTATTTATTTTTCCAACCAGAATATGTCTTTATGAAATCACAGAAAATTAAATACAATGAAGACACCAAAAATAGTATGTCTTAAGATTGTTGGACAATCTTCACTGTAATTAATTAGTTCTGTTTGTGTACTTGACAACAAACAAAATACAAAAGAAATAAAGGAAATGAGAAAAATTTGTTTGATTACAAAAATTAAACTAGAAATAAAATTAAATAAATAAAAAAAGATTTTATTTTGTTACAAAAATAAAATTAAAATCTGATTTAAATAAACAAATAAAACAGAATAATAAATTAAACAACTTACTTGATTAATTTCTTCGAATAATAATCTGATCAAGTCCAGTGTTTGACACTGTATCCTTAAGACAGATTCGTCCTCTCCTCGGTGCTTTCAGAATATGGACGTCTATCTCCCAAGATGAAATGATCAACAACAAATAAATGCAGCACTACAATTTATTTGTTCAACGAACAAACTTAGTATATACACTATTTCTCATAGAAAAATAATGGAATAAATGCAGCAAAATGCAGAGATGAATTGTAGCAAAAGAGGAAAGAAAATTGGAGAGAATCTGATCAAATGAGGGCTGGTCTATTTATAAAAGTTATGACAGCCTTTAATTTTGAATTGAACAGGTAGCATACCTGTTGGGTTTGAATTTGAACAGATAACTGAATCTGTTTGAATTTCAAATCTGTTTGGGTGGATTTAAATTTGAGCCGAACAGATTCAGTTTTGGACAGATCCGAACCTGTACAAAATTTCTGAAGAGGTGCAAATAAAATTACCCAACCTCACACCACGCACCCGCGCCCAACCCAGTCCGCTCGTGTGTGTGGTGATTTTTGGGTCCAATGGGTCTAGCCTATTTTGCCCATAACCTCTCCCTTCTACAAACTTGAGGTGCCCCTTGGGACCCTCCACAAGTTATAAGTCCAAGCTATATAAACTCATTCAAAACTTCCTACCAAATCAATGTGGGACAAGCCATTTACACAAATCTTAAAGAATTTTCACCAAAACTCCATTTCCATGGAGCACACTTTGGCTTCAATTTCCCATTCACTCGATAATGGTTTTGAGCAACCAAATATATCACGTGAATCACAACGCGGCATAAAACGCGTTACCACTTAGACTCGCCAATTTTGGCGCATGGGTCCCACCTAAATAATTGACCAAAGATAGGGAAAAAAAATCTGGTTTTACCCAGAATTTCAAAC